TTCGACCGGGAGGTCTCCGAAGCATCCCGTCAACCTGCCGTTTGACCGGGAGGTCTCTGAAGCATCCTGTCGACATGCCGTTCTACCGGGAGGTCTCCGGAGCATCCCGTCGACCTACAGTTCGACCGGGAGGCCGACGGAGCAGACAACTCATAATAATAGACTTTGGAAAATCATAAACTTTACGTGTCTCCTCATACAACTCATACCGTGAGTGCCTAGGACACCAGGGAGGACGAGGACGGGCGACACGACGAGCACGAACAGGTGTGAAAGCACGAGTCTCAGGCTCACGACGCTCAGTCAGGGACACGGTCACCTTAGTGTGAGGAGCAGGAGCAGGCAACGATGAGCCAGGCAGTAGCTGTGGCTGAGACTGGTCTGTCGGTGGACACAGGAGAGGTGTAGTGAGGCAAGTGGAAGACGGGAGACTAAGAACCTGGCGAAGGGCCGAGTCTGGCGGCGACAGGGACGACTGCGGCTGCGGGTAGAAAAACAGTCGGGGGCAGTAGCAGCAGCTCCAGCGCCTACAGCACCAGCAATACCAGCACCTCCAGCACCAACAGCTCCAGTCGCACCTCCAGTACCTCCAGTACCAGCAGTACCACCTGCTCCGGAGGCTCCAGCACCTCTAGTACGAGCACCTCCAGGACCAGCAGCTCCAGCACCTCCAGTACCTCTAGTACCTCCAGCTCCAGCACCTCCAGTACCTCTAGTACCTCCAGCTCCAGCGCCTCCAGCACCAGCAGTACCTCCAGCACCTCCTGTACCAGCAGCTCTAGTAGCACCTCCAGGACAGCAGTACCACCTGCTCCGTCACCTCCAGCACCTCTAGCACGAACACCTCCTGGACCAGCAGCTCCAGCACCTCCAGTACCTCCAGCTTCAGCGCCTCCTGCATCAGTAGCGCCAGCACCTCTAGTGCCAGCACCTCTAGTGCCAGCACCTCCAGTAGCACCTCCAGCACGAGCAGCTCCACTACCTCTAGTACGAGCACCTCCAGGACCAGTAGCTCCCACAGCTCCAGCACCAGTAGCACCAGCACCTCCAGTGCCAGCAGCTCCAGTACCCCTAGTACCTCCAGCACCAGCAGCACCACCAGCTCTGGCACCTCCACCACCTCTAGTACGAGCACCTCCAGGACCAGCAGCTCTAGCACTTGCAGTACCTCCAGCTCCACCAGCACCAGCACCGCCAGTGCCAGCAGCTCCAGCACCAGCTGTACCTCCAGGACTAGTAGCTCCGGCACCTCCAACACCAACAGCACCTCTAGTATCTCCAGGACTAGCACCTCCAGTACCTCCAGCACCAGCAGCATCTCTAGTACCTCCAACAGTACCTCGAGCACCTCCAGGACTAGCAGCTCCAGCACCAGCAGGACCCTACCCCCCACCACCAGGACTGCCTCGCCAAATGATCCACGCACGAATCGCCTACGGCGAGTGCGTCTCAAGTAGATCAGGCTGCGGGGGCTGTCCAGCTCTAGGACCTCCAGCAGGGTCACCCACAGCTCCACCGCCACTAGGACTCGCAGCACCCCCAGAGTCAGCACCCCCAGTCGCAGCACCCCCAAAATCAGCACCCCAGAACCAGCACCCTCTCTCTCAGCACCCCCAGGCTCAGCACCAGCAGTCTCAGCTCCAGAGTCCACAGCAGCAGGCTGCGGAGGCGGCGAAGACGGCCAAGGTGGAATACCCGGGGGGTTCTCCAAGCATGGAGAGCGGCGATTGGCTGTCGTGTCGTCCACGGCGGGGTCACCCCCCTCAGCTGGGCCAGAGGAGTCAGAATAGATCTCCAGAGGCTCATCCAAGGGGGGTGGGTCTACCTAAGACACACCTAAAGGAGCAGGACCCTGCAGGGGGGTGGGTCTACCGGGGGGGGGGGGACTGGTACCAGGAAGAGAGGCGCGAGGGGGACTGGGTGGGACGCGTGCGGGTGTAGCCTCTAGTAACTGACAGACTCGTCAAAGGTGACGTCCTGGGAGGTGAAGACTCAATGCGCGCGCGGGTGGTACAACTTCCATGGCGGAGCGTCGGTGGGGAAGCCAAGGAAGACGCGGCGGAGAGTGCGAGGGGAGAGCTTGCTTACGGTGGTGTCGCAAACAAGGAAGAGCGCGCCCCAGACCTGAAACGCCGACGCATCGCCAACCTGTCCCATCCCACGGAGTGTGGGCGAGGTCTTTGGCAAAGAGACACAAGGCCAGAGGTTGAGCTGATGCGCAGTGTATCGGGCCGCAAACGGCCATAGAAAATGGGGAGCAGCTACATGGATCATGGAGGTACGAGCAGCCTCCATGATCAAGCCATTGCGATGCTCAGCAATCCCATTTTGCTGAGGAGAGGCCAGAAGCGTGAACGACTGGCGGATGCGCTCGTCTTGACAGAACCCTTCAAGGAGGCCAGAAGAGAACTCACCGCCCTTGTCAGAGTGTAGACGCAAGACTGGCAAGTCCCGACGAAACCACTCGCGCAGCTGGCGACGAGTAGCACGAATCCAGGGGATCAAAACACCGCTAGCATCCGCCTTGCACCGCAAGGGGAAGACAGTGGTGTAGCATGTGTAGTCGTCAACAACCAGCAGGAAGTAGCGCTCCTGGTCCGTTCCACCTACGGGGGCCGAGCCCCACACGTCCATGTGGAGAATTTGCAGAGGAGCAGTGGTCGGAGGAAACTCGGAGGAGTGAGGAGCGGCGTGCTGCCGCCCCTCGACTCAGGGAAGGCAAGGCGGTGCAGGCGAGCGCGGGAGGGAGGGCAGGGACCTGGGAAGCACAGAGACAAGGAGACGGGAGTGCATGCTGCGGAGAGTTGGCAGTGAGGGGTGACCGAGGCGGTGGTGCCAGAGGAGAGTCTGGTGGGAGAGTACCCAACACAAGCAAGACGCTGCAAGCTAACCAGACGCAGACACTTGACTCGATGCAGTCACCTGACCTACCTCAGCCACCTGTGCAGACACAGTGGTCGGTGTGTACAGACTAGACCCAGGCCGTCGAGTGAACGTAGCAAGGTGACGGCCAGTCCGGAAGCACGTACAGATCGCCACATGCTGCCCTCCAGGAATAAAGGTATCAACCCAGACATCCTGAATGGCAGCGTTGCTCACCAAGTTCGTCGAGAACGTGGGGAGGTGAAGACCTAACAGAGAACCGGAGGGGACTGCTGGACATGGGAGGACAGTGGAGGCTCGTGCGACTACTGGGCGCCCAGTGGGGTCAGCCAGTGAGACTGGTACCGGTGCAGCAAGTGGTGTGAGTGTGGTGCAGTCACGAAAGAAGCAATGTGACGCGCCTGGGTCAAGTGTGAAAGTGTGCAAGGCCTCAGCTGACGTAGGACCTGTGGCTGGAGACGCACGAGCACCTAAAGCTGCAAAAGACTCACTAGCACCTAGAGCGGCAGCAGACTCACTAGCACCTAGTGCGGCAGCATACTCACTAGCACCTAGTGCAGCAGCCTTGACGGAACCAGTGACACATCGCTGAGGAACCAACTCACAAAGCACTTGCGGGGAGAAGGTCTCCTGCTCAATCTACTGCTGCCTCTGTGCAGTACGCAGAAAACCAAAACCTCCACCACCTGGAGGGGCTCGCTAAAGAACCCACTCACGAAGCTGCTGAGGGGTGGGGTCGTCCGGGAGAGGCAGTGACCCCCGCTGTCTACCCCTAGCCGCTGGAACTGCCGTGATAGTGGCCATGACAGGTAGTGACGGTCCGTAGTAGGTCCAGCACCTCCAGTACCAGCAGCTCCTCCAGCACTCCCAATCGAACTCTAGCTCCTCCAGCACTCCCAGCAGCACCTCCACCAAGAGCAGCAGTAGCACGAGTAGCAGGGCGGCTCGGGCTGGGCAGGGCGGCTCAGGCTGGGCGGCACGGCTCGGACTGGGCAGCGCGGGCAGCAGGGCGCGCGCTGTGCAAGGCAGCAGGGTGCGGCGCGCGGGCTGCAGTAGGGCGCGACGCGCGGGCTGCAGCAGGGCGCGACGCACGGGGCAGCAGAGCGCGACGCGCGGGCTGCAGTAGAGTGCGACGCGCGGAGCAGCCGAGCATGATGCGCGGGCTGCAGTAGGGCGTGACGTGCGGGCTGCAGCAGGGCGCGACGCACGGGGTGTAGCAGGGCGCGACGCGCAGGGCAGTAGGGCGCGAACCCTGCAGACGCGACCCTGCAGATGGGGCGAGCTGGGACAGGAGCTGCTCGCGGGCAGAAGGGGCACTCTGTGCAGGGGCTGCTCGCAGACAGCAGTGGCGCGCGGGGCAGGGGCTGCTCGCAGGCAGAAGGGGCGCGCTGGGGCAGGGGCTGCACGCGGGCAGCAATGGCGCGCAGGGCAGGGGTTGCTCGCAGGCAGTAGTGGCGCGCGGGGCAGGGGCTACTCGCAGGCAGCAGGGGCTGCACGCGGGCAGCAGGGGCGCGCGGGGCAGGGGCTGCTTTCGGGCAGCAGGGGCGCGCGTGACAGTAGGGAAGCGCGCTAGGGCAGGCAGTGCGAGTAGCTGCAGGGCAGCGTGACACAGTGCGAGAGGGCCGGACAGCGCAAGGGCGCTTCGGGCAGGAACTTAGCAAAACGATTGGTGGGCCCTAAAAACTTAACAGGTTTCCTGCTCTGAATATCATGTTAAAAAAAATTGTGCATGAATGATTCGATTAACAAGAGTTGGGGTACAAGTACTAGCCTTAGAAGTGATGTACCCCATAAGGAGTGCCCCATTATATACTACAAGTAAGATCGGTAAACGTTTTGCTTAAAATCAGATAAATCAGCAATTTTATGCCATTTTACACAACAAACCGAATAAAATTTCTGTTTCTCTTCAACAAATTGCTGAAGAATCAGCCTCAGTTTAAAAAAAGGTATGAAATCTCTGCCTTTTTTTTTTTTAAGCCCGGGTACAGCATGGTTATTTTCAAGTTCAAGATTCTTGAACTTGAAATCGTCAAAAACAGGGTTACCCTACTTTTTTTGGCGGAACTCTCGCGACTCTGGGACAACGCCTAGCGACACTCTCTCCTCATTGGCTGATGTGCACAATCGCAAAACAGAACCGAGCGTCGCTCAGGTTGGCCCGCTGTTTGCATCACACATATCTTGATTGCCTAGTAGTACTCATGACCAGCCTAGGCTCTCAAGTAAGTAGAAAGCCAGTGCTTCATCAGCTAGTAACACGTGACCGCGATTTTTACGGCAACTCACGTCACTCATGCTGTCTCGTCAATAGCAGTGTCTCGTCACGCGCGTTTCCTCTCGTTACGCGCTATCCTCCCTGGTTACGCGCGCTTCACCTCGTGAAGGGCCGAGGGGGAGAGACAGAAGGGGAAGGATGGAGGGGGTTTAGGAACAGAGGGGGGAGGGCAGAGAGTGGGAGACCCTGGGTGGCAACGGGTTCTTCCCTCACTCCCTCTCCCCATGGACCTCAATTTCCCCGAAGTGCCTACACCCCTCTTTATGTGACCGACCTCCCTTTCTCCCACCAGCTTTGTGCACCTCGCAATCTATTATCCTTTGCCTCACCTGCTTTCCCCCTCCCTCCTCCCTGCTTCCCCCCTCCCTCCTCCCTGCTTCCCCCCTCCCTCCGCCCTGCTTCCCCCCTCCCTCCGCCCTGCTTCCCCCCTCCCTCCTCCCTGCTTCCCCCCTCCCTCCTCCCTGCTTCCCCCCTCCCTCCGCCCGGCTTCCCCCCTCCCTCCGCCCTGCTTCCCCCCTCCCTTCGCCCTGCTTCCCCCCTCCCTCCTCCCTGCTTCCCCCCTCCCTCCGCCCTGCTTCCCCCCTCCCTCCGCCCTGTTTCCCCCCTCCCTCCTCCCTGCTTCCCCCCTCCCTCCTCACTGCTTCCCCCCTCCCTCCTCCCTGCTTCCCCCCTCCCTCCGCCCTGCTTCCCCCCTCCCTCCGCCCTGCTTCCCCCCTCCCTTCGCCCTGCTTCCCCCCTCTCTCCTCCCTGCTTCCCCCCTCCCTCCGCCCTGCTTCCCCCCTCCCTCCGCCCTGTTTCCCCCCTCTCTCCTCCCTGCTTCCCCCCTCCCTCCTCCCTGCTTCCCCCCTCCCTCCGCCCTGCTTCTCCCCTCCCTCCACCTTGCTTCCCCCCTCCCTCCTCCCTGCTTTCCCCCTCCTTCCCCCCTGCTTCCCCCATCCCTCCTCCCTGCCTCCTCCCTCCCACCGCCCTGCTTCCCCACTCCCTATGCCCTGCTTCCCCCTCCCTATTCCCTGTTTCCCCCCTCCCTCCTCCCTGCTTCCCGCCACCCTCCTCCCTGCTTCCCCCCTCCCTCCTCCCTGCTTCCCCCCTCCCTCCGCCCTGCTTCCCCCCTCCCTCCTCCTTGCTTCTCCCCTCCCTCCTCCCTGTTTCCCCCCTCCTTCCTCCCTGCTTCCCCCATCCCTCCTCCCTGCCTCCTCCCTCCCACCGCCCTGCTTCCCCCCTCCCTATGCCCTGCTTCCCCCTCCCTATTCCCTGTTCCCCCCTCCCTCCTCCCTGCTTCCCCCCTCCCTCCTCCCTGCTTCCCCCCTCCCTCCGCCCTGCTTCCCCCATCCCTCCTCCTTGCTTCTCCCCTCCCTCCTCCCTGCTTCCCCCTTCCTTCCTCCTTGCTTCCCCCATCCCTCCTCCCTGCCTCCTCCCTCCCACTGCCCAGCTTCCCCCCTCCCTATGCCCTGCTTCCCCCTCCCTATTCCCTGTTTCCCCCTCCCTCCGCCCTGCTCCCCCCCTCCCTTCGCCCTGTTTCCCCCCTCCCTCCGCCCTGCTCCCCCCCTCCCTTCGCCTTGCTTCCCCCCTCCCTCTGCCCTGCTTCCCCCAACCTCCGCCCTGCATACCCCCACCCTCATAGAGGTGCGCGTCACGCACCAAGTGAGCCTTTGCTTTCCCCATATGCCACCCCTCTACCTCGATCTCACCATCTTTCCTCTCCCTCCCCATGTACATTTGCAACTAAGAGGAGGGACGGACGCGAAACAAGGGGCCAGCTCAGCAGTCGCTTTTAGCATCTGGTGATGCTAACAATGCCAACTAGTATACTGCCTACTTCTCACCACAATGGGTACGGATGGGTAGGTTCTGCTGGTTGAGACATCTCAAAAGGCGCTGCACAATACTATGTGGCGTGAATGGTGGATGGGCAGGCAGGTGGTGTGCACCTTGATGCATAATGTACCTCAATTCAAAATGGGGCCTCTCGTCGCGTGTTTAGCTGCTTTGATGTCGTGTGACCTGTTGTCTCTGTGCCTCTCGTCGCTGCCTATCCCAAGACGTGCAGGCCAACTGTAGCAACATCACCCTTAGCAACGCCCACTTTCTGCTGCACAACGTGCTCCTCCACCTGCCTTCCCCAGCATTCCCCCAACGTGCCCGCCGCCTTTCTCCCCCACACACCACCAGCATGCACTCCACTGTCAGAATGAACAAGAGTGGTTGAACTAGGAAAGAGTTGGGTACAAGTAGGAAACCCTAAACTTACTGTACCCCATAGTAACTACCCCACTACAACCTAAACAAACTGTAGCAGATATAACATTTGACACACCCCCATGTGGGGGAGAGCAAGGGGTCACAAGACCAGTCAAGGGAGGCAAAACAAGCTCAGGGTGGATCACAACGTCACCACATACACTGAGCACAAGCAAAGAGCCACTAGGCCAGTTCACATGCAGAGGCATATATGCAACAAAAACATCACAATGATCTCTACCTAGCCAAGCAAGCATGCAGGTATGTATATATATATATATATATACATATATATACCTCTCGCTGACTGAAGCCTCGAGCAACGTAACGAGCCTTGAAGACAGGCAAAGAATCTGGCGACCGCTTCACCCTGAAAATCCACATGCCACTGACGATGTTCGCCCAGGAGGGGGAACCTCGTCGACGTAAGTGCCAGTGGACTTCTAGGATGCCATCTCTGCATCCATGGCTGTCTGCCACTGAGAGGAGTACTCACCCGCGATCGCCTCAGCGAAAGAGCACGGGTCCGGGATGTCTGGAGCATCCGGGTCTCCCTCATGTGCAATAAGCATGGACACGAGATGAGGTACAGCAGCGACAAAGCACTCAAAATCCTCCTGCCTATCCTCAAAAACGTCCGTGCCAAGAGCATAGTCACCCCCGACGGACGGAGGACAGACAGACTCAGACTCAGCAACAAGACTCGCAGCGTAGTCTAGACGACAATGAGCAGCTAAGTCGACAAGCTCAGCAACTAAGGCAGACGCAGCAGCTGACTCAAAGGAAGGGTCAGTGACGGCAGTGGCCAGAAGACGCGTGACAGTAGGACTAGCAGCACGAAGAGAGTCAGACTCCGGGTTAGCAAGGGCTGGAAGAGAGGACGCAGGAGGAGAAGGCAGTGGGACACGTTGTGGAGCAGTGGAAGGACGAAGCGTCATCTGGTGAGTGCCTGGGACAGCAGGAGGATGCTGACGCGGGACACGACGACCAGTGTGAGCAGCACTAACAGGTGACGCAGAACAAGACTCAGGCGACACAGGACGAGACGCAGACGCACGATGCTCCGTAAGACCGCCTGTTGGACTAGTGTAGGGAGAAGGACCAGGGAGCGGCGAGGCAGGCTGTAGCTGTGACTGCGACTGGACAGGCGGAGGACACTCTAAAGAGGGAGCAGGACAAGAAGGAGGCGGCTGACCAAGAACCTGCTGAAGGAGCGGAACGAAGTACGACCGCGGCCGTGAAGCGCCCCCAGAACCACTAGAGACAGCACCAGAACCCCCAGCAGCAGCTTTAACTCCCGCAGCACCACCAGCAGATCCTGTACTGTCAACTCCAGTACCTCCAGCAGCACCAGCTCCAGCTGCACCGTCGGCTCCAACACCTGCAGGAGGACGAGTGTCAGCACCTCCAGCTCCAACCCCTACAGCACCACCAGCCCCAGGATCAGCAGCACCACCAGCAGCTCCAGCAGCTCCAGTACCTCCAGCAGCACCAGCAGCACCGGCAGCAGCTCCAGTACCTCCGGCAGCACTAGCAGCACCTCCAGTAGGACCAGCACCAGCAGCACCTCCAGCAGCTCTAGTACCTCCAGCAGCACCAGCAGCACCGCCAGCAGCTCCAGTACCTCCAGCAGCACCAGCAGCACCTACAGCAGGACCAGCACCAGCAGCAGCTCCAGTACCTCCAGCAGCAGCAGGGCCTCCAGCGGGCGGCACCCCAACACTAGGAGCTCCATTCTGGAGGCTGCAGCGCCGAGCATACCACTCACGTAGCCGCTGAGGGGAGGGAGGCTCCGGCCGCGACACTGCACCCGCGGGACCACCAGGCCCAACTCCCGCAAAACCCCCAGCTCCAGTAGCTCCACGCCGGAGGCTGCAACTATCGGAGTTCCACTCACGCAGCTGCTGTGAAGAGGGAGCGCCACCAAGCGCAGCACGGTCAGTCTCAGTACCCCCAGTCCCAGCTCCTCTAGGCTCAGCAACCCTAGTCACAGCACCCCCAGGCGCAGAACCCTCTGTCTCAGCACCCCCAGGCTCAGCACCCCCAGTCGCAGCACCCCCAGGCTCAGCACCCCCACGCTCGGCACCCTCTGTCTCAGCACCCTCAGGCTTAGTACCCCTCGCAGGACCAGAGTCGACAGCTACCTCGACAGGCTCGACCGGATCTACTTGGGAAACACCAGAGGGAGCAGCACCTCGGAGAGGGAGGGGGTCTACCGACGGGACACCTGGGGTGAGGAAGAGCGGCGGGGGGGGGAGCGGGGCAGTGCGGTAGGGGAAGAGACGGTAAAAGGGTACCGACTCGTCAAAAGTTACGTCCTGAGAGGGGAAGACACGGCGCGAGGTGGGGTGGTAAAACTGCCAGCCAGGCGCGTCAGGGACAAAGCCAAAGAAGACACAGGGAACCGCACGGGAGGAGAGCTTGTCCGCGGACGTATCGCGAACAAAGGCTCGACATCCCTAGACCCGGAACACCAACGCATCGCCAACCTCCCCCGTCCAAAGCAGTGTGGGCGAGGTCTCCGGAGTGGAGACACGGGGCCAGAGGTTGAGCTGATGCGCAGCGTACTGCACTGCAAACGACGACAGGAAATGGGGGGCAGCCGCATGAATCATGGAGGTACGAGCGACCTCCATGACTAGGCCAATGCAGCACTCAGCAACCCCATTCTGCTGTGGAGAGGCCGGAAGCGTGAACGTCTGGCGGATGCCGTGCTCCGCACAGTAGGCTGCCAAGAGGTCGGAGGAAAACTCACCACCCGTATCAGAGTGCAGACGCGGGATGGGAAAGTCCGACTGGAACCGCTTGCGGAGCTGGAGACGAGCAGCGCGGATCCAAGGGATCAAAACATCAGGGACCTCACCCTTGGTGCACAAGGGGAAGACCGTGGTGTAGCACGTGTAGTCATCGACGACCAGCAGGAAGTACCGCTCGTGGCTCTGTCCACGGACGTGGGCTGGGCCCCACACGTCCAGGTGGAGAGTCTGCAAGGGAGCCTCTGTGCGAGGGAATGAGGAGGAGTGAGGAGCGGCGCGCTGCTGCCCCTCGACACAGGGAAGACAAGGAGGAGCAGGCGAAGGTGGGAGGGGAGGAAGAACCCTGGGAAGACCAGAGACAAGGTATCGGGAGTGCATGCCACGAAGGCGCTGCAATGATGGGTGACCAAGGCGGTGGTGCCAGAGGACAGTCTGGTATGACAGGGTGTGACACGAGCAGGGGGCTGACAGCTGACCTGACGCAGACGCAGACGTCGCTACCTGAGGGGACTCAGTGGTCAGTGTGTACAAGTCCGACCCCAGCTGCCGAGTGAAGGTAGCCAGGTGACGACCCGTCTGGGCACACGTGCAGTGTGTCACACGCTCGTAGGCAGGGGTGAACTGGTGAACCCCCGCGTCGTGGAGTGCGGAACCCACCACCAAGTTCGTAGAGAACAAGGGGAGGTAAAGGCCCGACAGTGTGCCGAACGGGACAGCAGGACAAGGGAGAGCACTAGTGGAGGTCGCAAGGACCGGACCCCTGGAGGGGTCAGCTAGGGAGATAGCAACCGGTCTATGGAGCTGCTCTAGGGTAGTGCGGTTGCGAAAGAAACAGCGGGAAGCACCTGAGTCCAGTGTGAAGGTGTGCAGTGCCTTAGTAGGCGCAGTACCTGAAGGCGCAGACTCACAAGCACCTGAAGCAGCAGACTCACGAGTGCCTAGAGCAGCAGCCTCACCAGTTCCTGGAGCACGAGACGCATGAGCACCTAGAGCAGCAGCCTCACCAGTACTTGGAGCAACAGACTGGATACCGGGGTCAGGCGGCACACACATGCGACAGGCTCCCTCGGCACTAGTAGACAATGCATACATTGCACTGAGAATAGCATCATAGTCAAGAGCAAAGATATCTACCCTTTGTCTAAGCAGCTCCACCCAGTTGGGGAGCTCAGCGTCATCGCCAAACTTTGTACGCCAAATGTCGCTCAGACGGGCGAAGCAGCGAGACTCTGTGTGACCAGGCGTCCCGCAAGGCTGACCAGTCCGGACACACGTGCTAGTAATGTACGGGCAGTGAGCAATACTCAGCGACCCTCTACTCTGAGCGTACCACTCACGAAGTTGCTGGCGCGAACGAGTCTTGCGCGGACGACGTTGCTGCTGCGCCGGGCCACTACAAGAAGCTCCCTAACTACCAACTCCAGGACGACTCCCACTACTGCCACCCCGACAACCCCAACTGGCGTACCACTCACGAAGCTGCTGGGGCGTGAGGGACACACGCGGACGGCCCAGGAGCGGCATCTGGCCATGCCAGGAGCAGCAGTAGAAGCAGTAGCAGCAGGAGCAGCAGTAGCAGTAGCAGCAGCAGTAGCGGTAGCAGCGCGGGCAGGGCAGTGCTCACTAG